TTGTCCCCCTTTTCTTGAGGTATGTAAACCTGACCCTGCTTGCAGTAATGTCTTCTTTGCTTGCAATGAGCCTTCGCCCAGCAGAGCGCGTGTCTTTCCTTGGGACTCCGTGTACTCACTCTCTCCCGAGAGAGGCTGTTCCCCTCACCCGCTATGGTGTGCAACAGGCAAAGTGAGGTGGGCTGCCATGACCGGCCCCCTGGCCGGTCCCATGACCCCAGCATGTCATGGGAGCCAGTTTGTGGTTTTTGTTTTTTTTTTTTGGGGGGGGGGTCACACCCGGCAATGCACAGGGGTTACTCCTGGCTCTGCACTCAGGAATTACTCCTGGCAGTGCTTGGGGGACCCTATGGGATGCTAGGAATCGAACCCGGGTCGGCCGCGTGCAAGGCAAACGCCTGCCCACTGTACTATCGCTCCAGCCCCCAGTTTGTGTATTTGGGCCACAGCCATTGGTGCTCAGCGGTTCCTCCCGGCTCTGCACTCAGGAATCACTCCTGGCGGTGCTCAGGGGATGCTATGGGATGCTGGGGATCGAACCCGGGTTGACGACATGCAAGGCAAGCGCCCTCCCTACTGGACTGTCACTCTGCACCCCTCCCCCACCAAAACAATTTTTTTCTCTAAAAAGAGTGGATTTTCTGCCATGAGGCTCTTTTTCAAAGGTGCATCCGAGGGAGCAGGTGGGGAGGGGGTGCTTATAGGCGCCTCCAGATCACTCTCGGCCTGTTCCTTTGAAGCACTGCTAGTGACGTCCCCTGAGTGAGGCAGTTTGGCCGGCAGGAATACTGACAGCAGCTTGGCAGGGGCCTCAGCACCCTTCTCTGGGACTCGGCCACACACCTCTCCTTCCCCCAAGAATCCTCCCAACGGGGATTAGAATGATAGCACAGCGGGTAGGGCGTTTGCCTTGCATGCGGCCGACCCGGGTTCGATTCCCAGCATCCCATAGGGTCCCCCAAGCAACCACCAGGAGTGATTCCTGAGTGCAGAGCCAGGAGGAACCCCTGAGCATCGCCAAGTGTGACCCAAAAGGAAAAAAAAAATAATAATCTGCCCAATGTTAATTCAGTAATTCAGTCAGTGGGTTTAGGTTAAGCCGGATCGCTGGTCCCTGCTCCTGGGGGTGGGGGTGCCCTATGAGGGTGCCCAGGTTCACTCCACCCCAACCCCAAACCCAGAGGCAAAGTTACTATTTTTTTTCTTTATGGTGGGGGGAACGCTTGGCGGTGCTCAGGGCTGACTCCTGGCTCTGTGCTCAGGGATCATTCCTGGTGGGGCTCGGGGTACCCTATAGGGTGCCAGGATCGCACCTGGGTCAGCTGTGTGCAAGGCAAATGCCCCCCCAGCCGTGCTGCTATTCTATTGCTCCAGCTGTGGACACGACACCCACTGTTGTCACAGTTCCCAGCTGAGTCTCTGGAGGTCACTGGTGCATGTCACACAGTGGAGACTCCCCCTCAAACATGACTCTGGGGGTATTTCAACCAGAGCCCCACATCTCTCAGTAACCGGGACTTGGTTCCCTCCAGCACAGGGGAGACGCCCCTCTCTGGAGTCACCCCCAAACCCTCAGCCCCTGTCCCCGAGCCTGGGCCTCAGCCTGAGAGCGATGGACTTTTGTTCAGTTTGGTTTGAGGGGTCTCAGTCGGCGGTGCTCAGGGGTTACTCCTGGCTCTGCACTCAGGAATTACTCCTGGCGGGGTTCGGGGGACCCTATGGGATGCTGGGGATCGAACCCTGGTCGGTTACATGTAGGGCCAACACCCTCCTCCTACCGCTCCAGCCCTAGGAGACAGAGCGTTTAATTTTAGAAATAATTACCCAGCTCTGAGCATACCTGCTGGCTTTGTAGGCTATGAAACGACAGGGCCCCTCCCCTAGAGAAGGATGAGGGGGGCGGTGTAGACCTGGGACAGATTGGACAGGCACTTCCAACAAGGCATCCAAGCCATCCTGTCTGTCTCTACTCAGGTGGTCCATCACCATGGCAACGACTCCATCCCAGGAGGTAGTAACCTTGGCAGCCAGGTAGCACCTGCCCTTCCAAGGGCAAAACTATACATGAACCCCCTTTCCTCTAATCTCCAGGGCCAACCCTGACTGGGAATGCTGGACTCAGATTCTTCCTCCCCAGCCCCAGGCTGGGGGACCCCAATTCCTCTCCCTGCCCCCCACCCTCACCTGACCATCAGGATGAATCTTGTCCTCCTGTATGTTTGTTGATGTTTTGTTGGGGGGCCACATCTGGCGTGCTCAGGGCTCACTTCCCGCAGGCTGGGGGTGGGGGGACCCTATAGGGTGCCGGAGATCGAACCTGGATCAGCGCCTTCCCTGATACCCCATTGCTTCACCTCCACCCCTGCACTTTTTGAGCACCAGCTGTATACCGCGGGATAAAGGGGTGGGGGGAGACTGAACACGGCAGTTTCAGAGATTCCCCCCCCCAAACAGGGCCCTAACCTGCCCTCTGTGTCCCGTGTTCCACACCTCCCACCCGGTGCCCCCAACCCTGTAAGGTTCATTAAGACGCCTACTGGGTGCCACCCGGGACGCACCGGCGCTGAAAAGGCAGCAGGTCCGGCGGGGAGCCGGGCTAAATCAGTAAATTACAGCTTCCAGGAGGGGGAGGCGCCCAGCAGGCAGCCCGGCCCCAGAAGGAGGCGAGGGGCGGGGAGCTGAGTCAGGAAGGAAGCGAGGGGGCGACCTGCAGCTGCCGGGGAGCTGGGGGGCGGGCTCGGCTCAGCAGGCGGGTGGCTCAGGTTGGCGGGTTGGAGCGTGGGAACAGCCCGCGGCGGCGGGGGCGGGGCCTGGGGCGGCCACGCCCCGCCGGCGGGGCTGCGGCCTCTAGACACGCCCCCAGGGACAGCCGGAGAAACTGAGGCTCCAGGGACACGTGCTCCCTAGCCAGAAAGTGGCGGGACCTAGATTAGACCTCTATGCGCCCCCCTCCATCCTATCTGCATAGCCCCACATCCCCCTGCCGGTGCTGGGGGACCCGGAGAGATGAGATAGAACAGCCGGGAGGGCTCTTAACTTGCAGGCGAGTGAGGTCGACCCGGGTTCGATCCCCGGGATCCCATAGGGTCCCTCGAGCACCGCCAGAAGTGACCCCCTGAGCACAGAGCCAAGAGTCAGCCCTGAGCACTGCCCGGTGCAATCAAACCTTCCCCCCCCCAAAAAAAAAAAGACAAAACCCAGCAGAGGCCGGAGCTATAGTACAGCCGGGAGGGAGCTTGACTTGCACACTTTCGACCCGCGTTCGATCCTCGGCATCCCATAGGGTCCCCTGAGCACCACCACGAGCGATTCCTGAGCATAGAGCCAGGAGTCAGCCCTGAGCATCACTGGGTGTGTCACAAAAAAAGTAAGTGGGGGTGGCCCGAGAGGTGGAGGGGAGAATTTCACATCTGTCTCCTGGATCTCACTGCACCCCTCCCCACCTCCTCCCGTGGGGGGCCGAGCCGGCACATCCTCCCGGGATGCGGGATGTGCTGTCTGGGCTTCCCGCCAATGCGGCAGCCTGGGGAAGCATCCTGGAGGCATCACAGGTGGCTGAGCTGACGCCAGGTCACCCTTCATGACAGCGGGAGGACACAGCGGGCAGGAGGGGTCGGACAAGGTTAGAGTCCACCCCTCCATCCCCCGTACCCCCCCCCCCCCCACACACACACACCTTCCCAGCCCCGGCCTGGCTCGGCCTCCGACGGTGGCTCTGTGATATGGGAGAAGGTGAGGGAGAAACACCCACAGAGGCTGAGCAGGCAGGAGTTTGGGCATGCAGGAAACCCCGGGGCGGGGGGGGGGGGAACCCCAGCACCCCATGGCCAGGAGCGACCCCCCACCCCCACACCCCCATCCCACTTATCATTGTCGTGAAGTGGTCAGAAGGAGACTGCTAGAAGGACCCAGCTCCTGTGGGACTTGGTGACATTGGCTGACACAGGGTGGGGGGGGGGGGGTGACTCTTCTGCCTGACCTCACTGCAGTAATGACACCCCCAAACTCCACGCTGTGTCCGCCCTAAATGGAAGGTGCACAGGGCCGGGGCCACGATGCTTGCTTTGCCAGTGGCTGACAGGGATTCCATCCTTCCCTCGCATTCTTTAGGGTGCTCTGAGCCCCGCTAGAAGTGATGCCTGAGCACCCAGCTAGGAGTCAGCCTTGAGCATCCAAATAACAAAAGCAAAAAAAAAAAAAAAAAGCGTACATGTGTGGTGAGGGCTATTCTGGGGGAAAGTGTGGAGGCTTGGGACCACCCCAGCATCTGCTTCTGTGCTGAGGGCTGGGAGTGCCCCATGCATGGGGGTGCCCACAATTGCTCAGGCCTCACCGGGTCAAAGACGGGTTTCTCCCACAATGATTCAGGGAACATCGCGTGCTGGCGACGGAGGACTTCTCGGCAGAGGAGGGAGGGAGCCTGTGGGCTGTGGAAAGCAAGGGGAACGGGGCGAGGGGGGAGGCGGTCTGCAGAAGCCTTGAGGTGGGGGACCTTGCCTGTTGGAGGTCCAAGGGTGCCCTGAGGTTGGGGGGGGCGGGATCAGAATGATCTCTGGACGCTCGGGGCTCCTGGAGGTGCCTCTTCTGGGGTTTAGAGGGGCCTGGACCTGGAAGCCGGAGAGAGAGTGTGTGTGTGTGTGTGTGTGTGTGTGTGTGTGTGTGTGTGTGTGTGTGTGTGTGCGCGCGCGCGCAGGAACCTAGGGAGCGGGTAGGTCCTAGAGGGGATCTGTTGCACGCAGGGGTGGGGGAGGCGGGGCGGGGCGGGGATGCAGCGTGTCCGGGTCCTGGAGCGTGGCCCGGCGAGGAAAGGGGCGGGAGGGGGGTTCTCGGACCAGCCCGGCGCCCCGCGCCCCAGCACCTGCGCGCACGTGTCCCGGCGCGCGCCGCACACCTGCGCCCCCGGCGCCGCGCCCCGTCGGCCGCGCGCACGGCTGAGCGCAGCCCCGCGCGCCCCCGCCCCGCGGACGGCGGGTCGGGCACGCGCCGCGGGGACGCGCACGGCGGGCCCGGGAGGCGGCGGCGGCGGCGGCGGCGGCGGCGGCGGCTGGTGTCGGCTCCGGGCGGCCCCCGCGCCGCAGCCCGCGCCGTGTCCGCGGCCGAGCCGCCCAGGTGAGTAGCCGCGGAGGGCCCGGGCTCCCCGCATCCGCCCCCCATCACCGCCTCCATCCCCGCGCGGACCCCCCCCGTGCGCACCCCTGCCGCGCCAGGCCTCCCCCCTGCAAACTTTGGGGACCACTCCCCACGCCGGGGCTGGGGGGGGGGGGGCGCTCCGCGCACCTTGGCAGGGGCGCCGGAGAGCGGGCAGCCGGGTGGGCGTCTCTCTGCAGACTGGGAGGGACCCCTGGCGGGACGCGTCCCCCCTCCGGGGGAGGACGATGAGGTTCTGTCGGGATGGGGGCGTCGCTGGCATTTCCTGTCCCCGGGAGCCCCCGGCTGATGCCGCCTGGGGGGGGGTGCGCGGAGCTGCCGGGGAAGAAAGGGGGTTTGGGGTTCAGGCCAGGACGTCTGTGCCCAGGGTCTGGGTGCAGCTGTGCTTGGAAGGCAGAGCTTTTGGGGGTCACAGTGCTGATCCCCAGCACCCCCTGCCCGCCCCGCCCCCCCCCACCACCGTGGGTCCCTGTTTTTCAGGCATCAAGAACAACCAGGCCGGCAACTCCGTTTGCCGGGGCTGGGCCGCTGGGGGGCCTGGCTGGGGCGGCCACTGCACCCCATTCAACAAGTTGGGGGAGGGGACAGCACCCCGCATGCTTCGCTCTGGGCCCAGGAAGGGGCTCCCGGGAGACAGCCAAGCCGGTGGCTGAGCTGTTCAGACAGAGGCCAGCAGCATTAGCTGCTGCAGGGGACTGCCAGCCCCCCCCCCACCCCTATTCTGAGGAATCCAAACTTCTGAGTTTGGTTGGGGACCTCGCTGAGGTCACGTGGAGAGGGGTCTCACTTTGGTGGCCAGCAAGAACATTGAGGGCTGAAGCAACCAGAGAGGGCTGCTTGGAGGAGGAGGAGTGGTGGCTGGCGTGAGTGTGGTGGGTGACAGGGCGGTGGACTCAGGGTCTCTGTGTGGATGAGGTGGGCAGCGGAGGTGGGGGGGGGTTGGTGGTACCAGCTCAGCTTTCTTGGCCTGTGTTATCATCCCCCAGGCGGTGGAGAGCTGGAGCCCGGAGTGACCTCATGGGGGGTGGGTGGGGGAATGGATGTCCGGGGTCCCCCAGGTGGTGGTGGGGGGGTTGCTGCAGAAAAGTCTTGGGTGCAGGGGCGTCCCGTTACCCCCCCAGCCCCAGCACCCGCGTCTGCACGCTGGGGGCGGCTGCTCCCAGCCACCCGCAGCAGAAGCCGCCTGAGTGGGCACACGGAGCAGATCCGAGGTGCCAGTTCACATCTTCCCACAGACCTGTCACTCCGGGCCCTCCTGAGTCACCACCTCATCACCAGGTAGAGTTCCAGAGAGCCGGGCTGGGGTGGGCCTGAGCCGGACGCCCACGTGCCTGCCAGTGCCCCCCCCAACAGCACCATGGGACCCCCCCACCCCAGGCAGACTCCCCTGTGTTCTGGGATAGGCCAGGAGCGTGTCAGCATCGGAACCGGGGCCCGGACACAGACACGCCTAGAGGAGAGATGGGGCGAACTGGGGGGGGGTCCCTTGGACCCCCCCAGACTCAGCTTCGTGCTGGTAGGAGCTGGGGGCGGTAGATAGGAGACATCGGGGTTTGGGTTTGTTTGGGGGCCCAAGCCTGGCGGTGCTGAGGCCTCACTCCTGGCTCCTGGCGGTGCTTGGGGGACCCTGTGGGATGCCGGGGAATCGGGGATCGAACCCTGGCCAGCCAAGTGCCAGGCCAGCGCCCTCCTCACTGTGCTATCGTTCCGGCTTTTCAAAAAGCGCGTGTGAGTCGGTCCAGAGGCTTCTCTGCTCGCAGCCTCTCCGTAGCCCTTCAGCGCCGACGGGCTGAGAAAGTGGGTCGGGAGGAGGCGCCCCCATCCACAACCCCCCCCCCAAAAGGGTGACAGGGCAGACGGAGGCTAATTAGGACTTAATGAATTGTCACGCCTGAATGCCCCGGGAGGGTCCAGATCTGGGGCGGAGGAGGCTGGGATCCTGGAGGTGGGGGGCACCGTGTCCCCAAATCTGGCCTCTGGGGGCCGTTGCTGCAGGCAGCTGGACTCCCCTCACCCCCAATAGCGGGTCTGTGTAGCGCTGTGGATGGTGGGGAGGGATACATTGTAGCAGATTCTCTGACTGACTGCATGGCGGGGTGGAGGGAGCCTCAAGATAGGGTCCCCAGCATCTGTGTGTCCCCCCCCCACCTTTCCCCTCCCAGGGCTCCGCTCTGACCCCGGGGCTGCAAGAAGGGGGTGATTGGCATCCCCTGGCCTGGCAAGGCAGAATGGAGGAGGGGGTGCAGAGTGGCTGTGCCCCCCACTTCTCATTGGGCTCCCCCCAGGAATTGGGCTTTTTCTGATCAAGGGGAGGGACCCCCCCATTCCAGGGGAGGGACCCCCCATTCCAGGCTCATTCTGCCCCCCCACCCGGGGTTAAGAGCGTTGCAATAGAGCCCGGAGCCGTAGTTCAGCGAGGAAGGCACTTGAGTTGCTTGTGGCCGATCCGGGTTCAATTCCGGGCATCCCCTAGGGTCCCCCGGGCACGGCCAGGAGTGATCCCTGAGTGCAGAGCCAGGAGGAAGCCTGAGCACCGCCAGGTGGGGGGCCTCCAAACTTAAATAAAGAATAAGAATAATGAAATGAAGGGGCCAGAGCGATGGTCCAGCGGGGAGGATGTTTTCCTAGCACGGGTCAACCCGGGTTCGATCCCCGGCATCCCATAGGGTCCCCAAGCACTGCAGGAATAATTCCTGAGTGCAGGGCTAGGAGTAACCGCTGGCTATTGCTGTGTGTGACCCAAACAAACAATAATGAAAAGAAATCCAACGTCTGTCCTGGGCTCAGGTTCCGCCCAGACCCCTGAGCTCCAGGCTCTGGGGCACCCTCCAGCCTCTAGAGGTGCATACTCCCGGGGTGGGGGGCTTCCTCAGCCACCCCCAGTGAAGCGCCCGCCTCACTCGGGCCCCGACCCCTCTGGGGGGGAGGATATTGCCCCCCCAACAATCCCCATCTTCAGGCGGCTTATTAGCATCCTTGATTCACAGCCCTGCGGGGTCCCTTGTGGTCCTGGGGCCCAGCATATGAGGCCCCAGAGTAGCCGTGGCTCTGCCGGTCCCAGGTCCCCCACCCCCTGCCGTATGGGTGCTCCCTGAGCACTGCCTGTTCCAAAGAGCTCTTCAGTGGGACCCCCACGCCCAGATGGTACAGCAGGGATCTGTCTGGGGGCTCCGGTACTGACTCCGAAATGAACAGCTGAAGAGGGTACCCCAGAATGCTCGAGGGAGGGAGAGGAAGGGAAGGAGAGGAGGAGGAGGAGGAGGAGGAGGAGGAAGGGGAGGAGGGAGAGGAGGAGGGAGGGGAGGAGGGGAGGAGGGAGAGGAGGAGGGAAAGTGAAAGGAGGGAAGAAAGGACAGAGGAAGGTGGAGAAGGGAGATAGGGTGAGAGGGAGGAGAGGAATGGAAGAAGGGGAGGACGAAGAGGGAGGGGAGGAGGGAGAGAAGTTAAAGGAGGAGAGGGGAGAGGACAACCTCGAGCTGACCACGCCCCTAGCCGGGGCCTCTGACCTGTGCAGACTTTTTTTTTTTTTTTGCTTTTTGGGTCACACCCGGCGATGCACAGGGGCTACTCCTGGCTCTGCACTCAGGAATGACTCCCGGCGGTGCTCAGGGGACCCTATGGGATGCTGGGAATCGAACCCGGGTCGGCCGCGTGCAAGGCAAACGCCCTCCCCGCTGTGCTGTCGCTCCAGCCCCCCTGTGCAGACTCTTGCCAAGCTCCCTCAGGGCTGACTCCCCACCTCTCGCTGGCCACTGGCCACGCATGCGTATGCGTGCCCTTTGCCGACAAAGGACGCAGGCCCTTTGGTTAGCCAAGGGGGATCCACACACGCCACCTCCTCCAGGCAGGAGACGAGACTTCCAGGTGGGGGCGACATGGGGCAGCTCCCAGGTCTGACCCGTCTTTAAGCGGCCACTTGCGGGCTCACACGCGTTGCACCCGAACCCAAAGTGACTCCCCGCGGCTGTATTTTAAAGTTGTTTCATGGGGTCGTAGTGATAGTGCATCAGGGAAAGCTTCTGCCTTGCACATGGCCAACCCGGGTCCGAACCCCGGCACCCCCTAGGGTCCGCCAAGCTCTGACAGGAGTGATCACGGAGCACAGAACTAGGAGTCAGCCCTGAGCATCGCCGGGTGTGCCTCCACCCCAAGAAAAAAAAAAGTGGGGCTAGGGTTCAATTCCCAGCATCCCATATGGTCCCCCAAGCACCGCCAGGAGTGATTCCTGAGTGCAGATCCAGGAGTAACTCCTGAGCATCTCCGGGTGTGACCCAAAAAGCAAAAGAAAGGGGGCTGGAGCAATAGCACAGTGGTTAGGGCGTTTGCCTTGCACGCGGCCGACCCGGGTTCGATCCCCAGCATCCCATATGGTCCCCCGAGCGCCACCAGGAGTAACTCCTGAGTTCAGAGCCAGGAGTAACCCTTATGCATCGCCGGGTGTGACCCCCCCCCCCCACCAAAAAAAGAAAATAAGAAAAAAGAACAGTGCCGGGGGAGGGTCCTTGAGCCCTGCCCTACAGTGGGGCTCCGGGGTGGGGGGTCCGGCCGGGGGCTGGGGGCAAGCGATCACTGAACCCTGAATCCAGCCAAGCACCCCTCCCTCCACCCGGACCCCGAGCATCCCCTAATGGGGGCTGGGGCGTCAGAAGCTCCAGTCCAGCTGCCGGCCGCCCCCCTCCGACTCGCCATCCCCCTTGCCGGGCAGATGACAGGCGGCTCCCAGGGGCGAGGTCGGGCCCCGCAAAGTGGGTCACAGCTGGAGCGGCTCTGCCAGGGTGCCGCGCGCTGGCCGGCTGTGCTCTCATGCCGCGGAGTAATTATAGCGTGAGCACTCCGGGGGCAATGGGGCAGGGCAGCTGGCGCGCACCCAGAGAGGATGTGTGTCTGCCTGGGGTCACACAGCACGTCCAGAGAGAAGTGTCCTGCGGCCTCTGTGCCTCGGTATCCCAGGAGCCGTCCCC